GGATATTTATGTGCCTAGGCAGCCTGAAATTCTGCCTTTCATATGGCAGGATTCTAAATTGCATGACCACCTCAGGCTCTTTGTTGAGGTCTCTCTGTTTATCAGATCATAGAATCACAGACTCTTTACGGTTGGAAAAGACCTCTAAGTCCAACCGTCAACCGAATACCACCATGCCTGCTAAACCATGTCCTGAAGTGCCACATCTACATGTTTCTTGAACACCTCCAGGGATGGTGACTCCACCTCTTCCCTGGACAGCCTGTTCCAATGCCTGACCACTCTTTCAGTAAAGAAATTTTTCCTAATATCCAATCTAAATCTCCCATGATGAAACTTGAGGACATTGCCTCTCGTCCTATCGCTAGTTACTTGGGAGAAGAGACCAACACCCGCCTCATTACAACCTCCTTTCAGGTAGTTGTAGAGAGTGGTAAGGTCTCCCCTCAGCTTCCTCTTCTCTGGACTAAACAACCCCCAGATAATTATCTTCTGTCTTCAAAATCGAACAACCACTAGATGTGGTTACCTAGAAATTATTCTGCCTGTTGATAAATATAGGTTTTCCACAGCTTCTGTAAAAATGGTCTAATTGGGCTGAATGAGATAGAATCTAGGGGTAGACATCTGGCCCCATCGAAGGCAATGGCAGGATTTACCTGGACTTGAGAAAGACAAGGATTATAACCTTGATCTATTCAGTTATCCTAAAATACTGGGCTGCCTTAAACACAGATTAGCCTTTGAATCCAGAGTGTATACATCTGTGTGCCTGCTCATGTACTAACAATCACTATCATTTCCTGCAAGTCTCACTTTTCCACGGTCTTGCAGAAATTCTATGTTGTATGCCAGTAGCTTCCCTCCTGCAGGAAATCCTGCTTTGCTCAAAAAATATATTCAGTTTTTAAAAACTGAGGAAGTAGAATCGTAGCTTGATTTTCTGGCACCAAATCTGCCAGCCCTGCATAAGTGATTCAGATACACATACTGTCTTTCAAATGGCAGTGCACGTACAAGTGACATTCTTATATTTAATGCAGTATGAAACTCAGAAAGCTAAATAGTAATGGAATATTTGAATATTAGTGAAATGAAATGTCTCAACACACCTTTTTGTCCTCCTTTTAGAAAATTTTGTAATTGTTAGTCCAGGACCTGATGATAATTCAGAATCCTTTGTGCCCTAAAAGGACACGGGCCTCCTCTGTTCCAGGCATGGATTTAGCAATGCGAGGTGCCTTCCATTAATATCATCCTGTCAGGTATACACTGCAAGTTAAGTTAAACTGGAATTAGCCCACGAATATGTCAAGCCCGACCACCTCGCAGACCTGCAGGTATCCAGCCCTGTATCCCTCTGGCCCTTCTGAATGTCTATGTACATAAACTATTTACCTTTCCCAGCTCACCTGGGTGGTTGTTAGTTAAACCATTAGATGGCTTTGTTGGTGATGCCAAAGCATGCAAGGAAGAACACCAGCAAGCCAATCAGTTGGATGCCGTGTGAAGCTTTGAAAGTACTTGAAGTCAGAACTCGTATGATTTGAATTCTTAGCAGCTTGACAGCTGCTGTTCAGAGGCTCCCTGGCAGCTGCCTGGCCAGCAATACGCCACTGCTATGCTTCTAGTCCACACTGTCTGAATCAAAGGTGATCTCTGTGACAGTGGTGACAGAAGTCAAGCCAGCAGCTTAGAGGACAGCAAACCGTGGAGGAAGCAGCAGTCTCCTGGGAATTAACCAGTCTACTTTTTTACTTGACTCTGTGTAGAACACACTTTTTCCTCTCTTGCTTGCCATAATACACCTACTTGGGCATATGCTGTCTGCATTAAACCTTCACAGCAAAGAAGCCAGCTACTTAGCTTTCGTATAAGACTAAGGACGCCCTTGCTGTCAGTACCAGAAGAGATAGGTAGAAAATATAATGAACAGGCCTATATTTCCTCCCCAGTACCTTCAGAGCCTTTCTGTAGGCTTGTTTTTCTAAGGCCCTTCTCCTGAAGCTCGTGGCTCATTCTCTCAAGTAGAGAGACCAACCTAACCTTGTTTCTCCAAGAGGTCAGCCCCTCAAATCTTCTTTCCCTTCCCCCATGGCTTGTCTCTCTCTCTCTTTCTTTTGCTCTGTTTCCGAGACAAATTTGGGAATGAATCTGCACAACTTTACAGGGTCTCCTCCAACCAACTGGACTCTTTGCTCTGACTTTGTCTGTCCTTCACCTTTCTGCTCTCCTTCCTTTGCCAGACAGAACTGCCACAACTGGTTCTCACTCAGGCTTCAGTTAATCTCCTTGTCAAAAGGAAACAGGACTCCTTTTATTCTGGACCTGACTCCTGTGAGGTGCTGTAATCATGGCCCCTTCCAGCTCAGTAGATAAACACAAGATTAAGGCTAAATCTTACTAGTCCCTAGTAAGTATTCAATGACTGATTCATTTCAGGTCTGTGAGGAACCTTACTAACAGTGCTGGGTACATGTTTGCACAGGAGATACCCACAAAATACCAGAGATACATAGTAAATTGAGCGGAAAGCAGCACCTGTAGACATACATCCCCTTGACAGACACATCCTGTTTCCAGTCACACCCATTTAATTCCAAAAGGCGAAATTGTGGTGCAAAGCTGGAATGCCAATAGATTTACAGGCTCACAGGACCACAGGATAATTCAGGTTGGAAGGGACTGCAGGAGAACAAAGAATCAGCCATGAGGTCAGATCAGACTGCTCAGGGCTTTATCCAATCTGATTTTGAATCCAGATGGATCCAAATACAGTTTTGGACATACATAAGTGCAACAGAAAGTACAATACCTCTCCGGGTCAAAGCTAAATGCCAAGACAGTATAATAAGCCTCACGCTGTTCTGTTTTCCAGTGGAGATCTGAGCTTGGTATACTTCTCAGGCTGAGATCCAGGCTCTTCAGATGAGATTGCATGGCACGGTGCTTATTGCCCCACTTTGCCGTGAGCAGAAGGCACTGATGTGGTGGAAGTAGTCTCCATGACAGCGACAAATGGCTGACAAGGAAAATTATCTCTAGAAGACCACCATGGCATTAACACTTTGCTTTTCTCTGGGGATATATTGGTAAATAGATATGCTGTAACATGGGAAGCTATGAAATATGGACTAAAAGTTATTTGACTAAAAGTCAAACTAAAAGTCTAGTGATTCTTAAAGTGTAAAAGAGAAGCAGTGTACTGAACTAAGCGCCCTGTGAAACGAAAGTCCTCCCCTTTCAAACTATCTTCTGCAAGGTACTGGAAGAGGTGGTCCAGACTAGTAATTTATACAATACCAGGAACCAACAGAAATACTAAAAAAGTTATGAATGTCGTCTGAAATCAACCCCTTTGATTAGCAAAGGATGGTGACCTCCAGCAAGAAAAGTGTTCCCACGCTACTGTGTTGGTAGTACTTCAAGACACAGGCTGTTAGGCAAAAGCACATGCAACCAGCAGGATTCAGGGATAAATTCAGGCATGTACATTTAAGTGTTTGACTGTAAGTGTCTACGAGTGCCCTTGTGACTTAATTCAGTTGTCTAGATCTTGAGTGTTGTTTGAAATGCTTTGTGACAGCTGATGTCCAATGAGTAGGCCAGAAGAGTGTTGGTCTCCCTTTGAACATCAAGCAGGTGTGTCAAATATTCTAAGATGCCCAAAGTTAGGCTAGACACGCATGTCTAGGCAAGTAAGCAGCAGCTTAGTCTACATTGTCATTATTTAGTGAGGATCTCCTGAAAACAGTCGGTGGAGCCTAGACAGTGATTTGATTTAGCCTAAGCACACACTTACGTTTGTTCAGCATTAATTGAACCCTGCCCCTTACTATCATTTCTGACACCACAGAGCGTTGGAGATACCTGCACAGGGTTAACAAATGCGACATAAGGGAGATTTGTTGCCCTCTGGACCAGTAGCTGCAGATCAGGAAGGGTACTCTAGAGCACTGCTTGCTTTTGGCCAACCAAATAGAGCCTCTGTTGTATTTTATACCATCAGCAACCTGTCTTTGATAGCTGTGCTGCTCAAGGAACAACCTCTTAGTTACGTCTTTATCCTCCTAATAGGTGCCTGCGCAACAACCTTGTCAGCTTTGGTATATACAGGACTTCCATGAGTCCTGCCACGGCCTTCATTGATAGCATTCTCATTGTTGCTCTGAAGCATTATCCTGGCTCATAGCGTTTAGCCATGTCCCTAGAAATCATAGTCACTTCTCTTAAATGCATATCTACACTTGGATGCTCTTGACTGAGAGACAACGTAGATATCTCACGGCTTCTGTCTGCCAAATTTAGTTTTAGACTGGTGTGAAAACAATGAAACTTACTTCCACCCCCAGAAGGAGCATTTGCAAAGCATTTGGAGTCTATATTTACTGATCGAACTGATGGAAATTACTTCTAGCAAGCCCTCCCGACTTGTGATAAAACACCTATGTCTTGAAGTTAAAACCTGCAAGAATTTTCATCCAGCATTTCCATGTTTAGCTTTACCATGAGTGGAAGATAGATAGACAGATAGACAGATTTGTAGATATGCACTTTGAGCATAAAGAGACACAGTAGAAAGGAGACAGACTTGTTCCTGCATTGGATAATAAAAGACATCTTTGTAAAATTTTTCTTTAATTCAGACTGCTCCTTGCAGGTTTCTCTGCTTCTTGATTGTGTATACTAATCTCTTTTAGGCCATCGAAGGGAAAGCAGAGGCTTGAGAACTTACACCAAGACAGACGGATGGGGTTAGAGATGTCCAAGGATTCTGCTGTAGATATCTCAGAAAGTAATTATACAGTGGCAAAAATTCTTCAGTCAGAAGCTGTAAAATGGGAATATCCATTACAGCTGAATTACAACAAAACTATTAAACTGATGACCATTCCCAAGTCTTTTGGATCTGCCATGAGCAGAGAAGTCATGAGCAATTAATACCTTCAATTTTAGGTTTATGCAGGAAACTCTTGTATGATTTCTGATCTCACCCAAAATTAAGTTCCACCAAAATGCTGCTGAAGTGCACAAAGGTTAATCTGAATGTAGAGGTTGGTAAGGTTTGGATACAAGTGAGATTTGGCTAAAAAATGAAAAGGTGTGTGAATCACTGTGAAAAATGGGCACGAAAGAAACCGGGCGTTCACGCTTTAAAGCAAAGTTATTGATGGTATATTCGTCTCCTGGACATTACCCTGTGCTGGAAAGCCACAGCTATGTAATTTCTTAGCTAAAAGGTAGCCACAAGCCTGCTATAACCCCTCCTCTGATGCTGTGGAAGAGTATAACCATGAATCATGGTGGCAAACCGATCTGTTAGGCTCCAGGAGAGCAGATGCCCATTGTCATCCAAGACACAAACACTGGGGAAGCAGCAAATAAGGTTACCAAGGTACTTCTGGCTCCTTGGGTTGTCACCCCCCCATGACCAGGTTTTGCTGAGCAGGCTGGCATGGGAGATGTCCAGGTGAGTCACTGTTAATTTAGGGTCCATCCTAAGAGACAGTACAGAAAGTGTATTAGGTAGAAAGCTGTGTCCCATATTCTCCAAGCAACTGCACAAGATTTAAAGCTGTCTTTTCTAGCCAAATAGATCTTCAGGTCTGTATCAGAAAGGGGAATCAAAGTGAGCTGAGTTCACTAGGCTGGAGGTTTGGAGATAATTATAGAGGGCAGCACCTCTCCGTTTTAAGTCTTTGTTTATCTAAGCTCCTGGGTTCACACAACACACTCCAGAGGTGCCTTCTTCCTTATGGGAAGAATGGACAATATGTTAAGGAAGGCAAGGAGCTTAGTGATATATTAGGTGGCACAGGAGAGTGGAAAGGATTTGATTTCCAGTCTCGTTCCACCTAGACTGACAGATTCCCTCTGGATTTTGAATCCAGCACTGAAAAATTTATTCCAGAGAAAATGGAGCCTCTGGTTCCCCTACTGTTCTGCTCTGGTGTCAGACCGATATCTCACCAGCAGAGGGATGTTGGAAAACTGAGTAGGCTTCAAGTAGTTGTGTAAAGTCCCCTTGTGAAAAAGAAACTTTGCAGGAGTCCTAGGTCTATCTATCAACAATAAGGAGCTTTGACACAGGAAGGTCAAAGGCAATGGAGAGCAGACCTGTGGATTCCATGTATACACTAAGAGAGGAGGCAATCGGGACTATTCAGGAATACAAAACTGCAAAAGTGATAGACTGAATGAAGAAAAATCTTGGTAAGTGTTTAAATGAATAGTTCCTTCCTTATCAAGTAATTCCCCAGTTAGATTTTTCAGCCAGTCACAGAGAAAGTCTAGCAGTCTTCCTGATATTTTTGATGTAAATGTACTTTCAGGAAATATGTTGCTGTAGTAAGGACATTGACTAATGACATGGAGTGCTTAGACAAACTGAAGTCTGACATCTGGATCTGAATGGATAACCATATGGAAAGGGGATGTTTTCACATCTACCCGCTTAGATAAAGCCACAGTTCTGGATATTTCACATATTCCATGCTGGAGCCCTGTGTATACAGAGGTAAATACTGAGGCACCTTAAAAAAGAAAAGGTTTTTTTGAAAACAAAGAGCAATAGTACACTTCTAATGGAACTAGCCAGGTACTCGAAATCTCAAAAATTATTAAATACGTTCATACCACACCCTGGCTAAAGCTTACACTTACCTTCCACCAGACCAGGTTGCTCAAAGCCCCAACCCAGCCTTGAACACTGCTAAGGAGGGGGCATCCACAACTCTGGGCAATCTGGGCCATTACCTCACCACCCTCCTAGTGAAGAATTTCTTTCTTATATCTAATTTTAAATCTACCCTCTTTTAGTTTGAAGCCTTTACCACTTGTCCTATCGCAACAGGCCCTGATAAAAAGTCTGTCCCCATCTTTCTTAAAGCCCTCTTTCAGTACTGGAAGGCTGCTCTAAAGTCTCCCCAGAGCCTTCTCTCTTCTCCAGGCTGAACAGCCCCAGCTCTCCCATCCTTTCCTCCCAGCAGAGGGGTTCCAGCCCTCAGATCATTGCTGTGGCCTCCTCTGGCCCCGCTCCCACAGCACCTTGTCCTTCTTGTACAAGGGCTCCAGAGCTGGACACAATACTTCAGACCACCTCCTAAAAGTCTGGATCTATGTTCCTGTTTCATGTTTTCCTGTTCATGTGTGCACGAGAATCCCAAAGCAACAACATCCACAGCCAGCCAGCTTATCATAAATCGCTCAACGTCAGGAAAAAAAAAACAAATTAAAATAGTTATGGCTCACTTCTGTAACTATCTCGCCCTGTAACAGTACCGCCATTGCTAGCGGCAGCTCTGCACAGCGTTCACAAGGCCTTGGGACTGAGGCTCACCCGATGCTCTTTCCGATTGTTTTACTTCACTGTGTAATTTAGCGCTTTCCTCTAGTTGACCAGGTGTCTACAAATTGTTTCACTTTTGTTATCTTTGTATGGTACAACCACAGTTTTATATAGAGAGCAGTAACAAGCAGCTCTTCTGCATCAGATGAGATATTTACGACTAATATAATGACGCAGTATAGAGAAATACAGGCTGAGTATTACAGCAGAGGCCTTGAGAAACGGAGTCAGGGGATGCGGGGCAGAGAAGTACGGGCACAAGGTGGTCAGCAATGTGGCACAGGAGAGCGATGACGATGGTAAGAGATGAAGACTGGCATGGGAGACCCCTCAGCTACAAAGAACTCACCAACGATCAGGTCAAGAAATACAGACTCAGAGCTGGAAAAAAAATGGCTTTAGGAGTAAGAAATAGGACCTAACATACAGAAAAGGTACTACACGCTGCCCCCAAGATGTGCTTCTTCTCTGCATATAAACATTATTTTGAGCGCATCACCTTGCAATCTAAACAACTAGATTTGCAAGGCAGGGAAGTGACCACAAATCTCAGTCCCAGGAGCTGACCACATAGGCTGGAATCATGAGACATTTTGCAATTATTCCTTTCTTGGGGAAATGTAAGAAATGCTGCAAATAGCTAAGGAATAATTCATCCTGCTTCTGTACCCTGTCTTTCAGGGTGTCAGCATGTATGACCGAAAGTAAATCAACAGCGTAGAGACTTCCTGTTATCAGTAGTGTCCAAACCATTTAAATGTCTCTGACGATTACATTCTTCATATATTTTACTTCCTTTTCACACCTGTTTATAGACTTCAGCATACACAGGATCTTCTGGCACTGTTACACACACTTGACTGTGAGAACTTGCTGTCTAGCCCCCAAGTTGGCTACTCCCTCACTCCTGTGCTGTAAAAAGCAGTGAGTAACCCATCCCTATTCAGTGCGTTCATAAAAAGCTTCACGTCTTTATTATTTCCTTCTCCAGTTACTGCTATTTCAACTTTCCTTATACGGAAGCTGTATCATATCTCCGACTCCTACTTACTGCCCTTCTCCACACTTCCCTTTTTTTAAAAAAAGAAAAAAGGTATTGATGTGACTCACGAAGTTCAAAACCCACACAAAAAACTGTTCGCAAGTAGATCACCCTTGAAGAAAGCTGAGGAGTATATCTTCACTCAACAAAAATTGAGATAGCTGGCATGCAGCAAAATCATTAATCCATAATCTGGATTAAATGACTTTGGGGTAGTGGTTATGTCAGTAAGTGCTCCCCTTGTCACATGATTAAAAATTTGGGAAATGTTTCTAAATATTTATATACTTTTGCACGTAATTCAGCATAAAGCAAGCAAGTACTTAGTCTGGTTTTCCTGATCCTACACGTAGCAACTACAGAGAGGCTTTAATCTTTCATAGGAAAATAGAGATAATTAGCTCATGTCTCATTAAGAGTACCAGCAGCTTGTAAACAAAAGAACAAGTGTTTGTGTGGTAAGTCAATGTAAAGAGCACTGCTTCTTTAGGGAAAAACTTTATCATGGCAAAAATAGAGGAGAGATTAAAGTGCATGGGAAAAAAAATAGACTTTTGACTTAATTTTCTCTCTCTCAAACTGAACAATATCTGACAGTTAATGAAATATAAGCTGAGTACACAACTCTGAGATTAGAGCTTTGCTTATAATATTCTTATCGGCTTTCCCCAACTATCTGGATAAACCAGGTGTGAATGTCTTTTTTTTTTTAAAGCAGTGAATATGAAAATGCAAAAGAAATCCTGCACATTTGAGAAAAATTATTCCATTTCCTGCCATGGAGGGTTTTTATTAAAAAATGCTAAGAAAGTTGAACAGAGGATTTGCAACTGAGCATTACATAATCATATTTTTAGTATGTGTTTCAGGTTTAAAGAGGATTTAACTACAAAACAAAAGTTAGTTTTGTAAGACATACTGCCTTCACTGATTTACAGATGTGATATAAAAGTCCAAATATAATGGAATATGTTGCCTTATTCTATAAAAATGCCAAACAAACCCAGGACCTATTTCCCTCCCTTCTCCTAAGACGGTATATATCACCATTAGAAGTTATCACAGGTCCAAAAACACAAAACACCCCAAAAAACCCTTGACTGATCACTTCAGTGACTAGAGTCCCAGAGTGCACCTACAGATTTATATACTAATATTCACAGGAAACGTTTTAACAGAAATTCCGCAGTCACAGCAGCAAAGCCAGTAGGAAGAAAACAACATTTCCACAATCAGCATCCTGCTGCTCTACATCAACAGAGTGCTGGCATAGGTTATCTTCCTCAACGGAGACTCCTTATATCTTGGTGTCTCAAAGGAAGTCCACCTTCTCATAGCTCTTTTCAATGAGGGTTAACATGTTCTTCAAGTCAGCTGACTGCTGAATAGTGTTCATATCCTTTAGAAGATCTTTCTGATTTTTTATCTTCAAAATTTCTTCCTGAAGAAGGAAAGAAAGAATAATTGACAAAAAAAACCAAAAACAGCTTTCACTGAGTCCAAAAGTAATTTCACTTTCATGCAGCCTAGCGGTACCTAAATACAGCTAAAATAAAAGATTAAAAGACACAGAATGAGGCAGTCTTCTTTCCATCAGTTATACAGAGATATATTTCAGAAATTATTACAGATTCCCTAGGACCAAAGGATTCCTAGGAAAAGACATGATCCTTTAAATGGCAGGTTTTCCAGGGTTTTGTTCCATTTTTAAAATGTAAGCATATGGTTCTCAATGAAAAGAAAAACAAGAAAAAAGAAAAAACTTTCAGATATTTCAGAATTTTCAGAAATTACTCTCTGGCAGAGGTTAAGTGACAAAAGCTCATTCTGTTGATTTCTTTCTCATAGCCAAGGTGTCTCTGAAAATACATTCCATGCTCACCTGCAAAGTGGGTGCCTGGAAACTGCGCTTGGGGAGTTCTGGAAGGTGGAGTGCTCCATTGCCATCTTCCTGGAATATCTAGAAAAGGAAAAAGAGAAAGAAAAAATAATCCAAACACAAACATCAGGCACAGAAGTAGGAAAATAAAGCGGCTGTCATTATCCAACTTCTGAAATGTAAATTTCTTAATTCTGCAGCTAAAGTTGGAAAGACTGAAAAGATATTTTCCCAAAGGCAAATAAGGTCTTCCTTATATGACGCTTTCTGCAGAAACAGCTTGTCGGGACAGCTCTGGAAGCTAGCCCATTCCTCTAGGTTAGAGGAGTGCAGCAGCATCTATTGGAGATACCTTTCTGGCCTTTTTTTCATCTTCCTCTAACTGATTCTTGAGCCTCTGGATTTTGTACTGCAGTTGCTGTCTAGTTTCTTCAATGCGTCCTGCTGATCGCTCAGCTTCATTTATTTCTTCCTATAAGACAAAATACACACAAAGCCAGAATCAAATTCACTTTAGAGACAGTGAGTCTTTTGCTTACAAGATACTGCTACTTAGCATCAGCTGAGTCACTGAAAATCCATCCAAAAAGGCTACAAAGCAGTGTACCAAGGTGGGTGACAAACAGCGAACAACTCCTCTACAACAGCACAGGCATAGCCTGGATGGACTAGGATATAGTCCATCTACTAAAAAGTTACAACACAGTGAGCAGCAGCAGACAGGTAAGATATTTTCTTCCCTTTCTTGCCTTCGTACCTGCATTTGTAGCAAAGACTCTTCATTTGTCTCCAGCATTTCTTTCTCCGCCATTAGAAGGCTGGGGACATTCTTCAGGTTGCCCAGCTTCCCTGGAGGCACCTTTAAAGTCTTGAAAAATCTCAGCACCCTTTATTATAGAAAAAGGAAAGCATGACTTGTTTGGAGTTCTTTGCAAAACAAAAAGAAAACTGATTAACAGCTTCTCTGGGGAAAAACTAAACTCAATTTAGCCCAATTGCTGCCAGTGAAGTAAAAGGATCCAGACAGGAAGAAGAGCTGTCTTGAACTGTTTTCCAAAAATCGTATAGAATAGATGTCTAGCGAAGGAATCAGGAACAAGAAAAGCCACTGTAATCTTCACTATGATGCTGATGTTTTGTGGTTTCTACCCCATTGGCCTGTACACTCCCTGACTGTAATTTGACATTAACTAAAATTTTCCCAGTTCTGACCCTTCTGCTTTTCAAAGTAAAGCTAAGTTCCAAAAGTAGCATTTTTAACTGCTTCCACACAAAATCAATGCTTTTGTGAAACATGATATATAATTTTATGCCACAGGAAGAGCTTTAGCTTGCTCTCAAAGGTCCTTCTGATTCTGAGGAAGATTTTAATTGTTTCAAGTTGGATCCGTCTGTTAGATACACCGAACTGCCACACTTTCCATGCATCTCAGATGAGACTGCAGGAGTCTGGCAACTCACAAATCAGACCCAAAATGTCACAAATTAAACATGAAAAAAAAAAAGGAAATCATTTATGAAAAACTAGCTCCTCATGTTTGAATCTTGAGGTACTGTAAGAACAAAGAAAGCAATTTATAGGCTCAGGCTTTGTGTTGCTAAGAGCCAAAGACACACACTAAAATTCTCAGAGAAGCAAGCATACGTAATTATTCCACAATGACACAAAAAGACTACAAACACAAAATTTCAAGTTTTTTTGAAGTAACTTCAACAGTCAGAAAATGAATTAGCATTTAAGAAAACTTAGCTATAACTCCTACCGCCACTATAATAACACGATAATAAAATAAAAACCTGCCTACAAATTTAAACCCTGTATGAAGAGTACAAAGCTGATTAAAGGAGCTCTTAGGAATACCTCCTAGGTTCTGTTACTCATATAGTAGTTAAAAAGTGGGTCTTTCAACAACTCTTGCTTGTCCACTTCAATCAATATACAGTCAAGATACTTCCCTTCTTGATTTTACACCAACTCTCCCTTCCAAGACTTCCTAAATGTGACCACTTCCAGAAGCAATTCTGTAAGCACGGTAGAAAACACCTGGGTAAAATAAAATCCCTTCTCTCCCTCCTTTAAAAAGAAAAATCGAAAATTTCCTACCTTTCTTTCAGTAAATTGAGGTGTTTCTGAATATCATCTTTCCTCCCACTTTCCTGGCACAAAACAGATCTGGAAAGAAAATAAAAACAGAATCTTCATCACAAAGCCTGCAAACACAGAGAATGCATCAAGCGAAGCAAACCTAGCCAGAACCTCTCTAGCTGAAAACCTCCAACTTCAGACAGAAAGTGTTATGTTATACTGCACAAAATATACACAGTCAGCCATACTGCTCAAAAAAGCTCCAAAGCTTTTCCAGTTCAAGCAATATTACAATTTTTACTTTATTCCTTGTGGAAACAAGAGAAAAATCACCAGGATATTCGATACTTACAGTATTACGGAATCCATTACAGTTTCCAGAAACTGCCTGCTGCTCTCTGAGAGAGTCTGCCAAGATCCTACTTTAGCACTGCTTAGTTTCACCTTTTTTGAAGAGCCTTTTTCTTCTGTTAACACAAAGGAAAAAAGGAAAAGATATCATTTGTCAAACCTGGATAAACAGCTTTGTGAGTCAATTCAGTCACATCGCAGTCAAAGGTGTAACAGTTACGATTATCCACACCCCCAAACTACTGTGTCACATCTATTCCCATTAGATGTGGGGACTATTTGCAAGTCACAAGTTGTTTAAAAAGCACGAAACAGAAAAGGTTCTTTCTTACAGCAGTTTCATTCTAAACAGATACTTTCCCAAAATCATTGGCAATACGAGTAAGAAAATCCAGAATGAAATGAAAAAAAAAAAAATAAAAATGGGGGAATCTACATAAGCGAGAAACTCAATGCAGCACAGGCCTCATCTCATTTGTATGTTCCATACAGCACATGCCAGTCTTAAGGCAGTGTCCTGGGTTCAGCTGGGACAAAGTTAATTTCCACAACAAGCTGGTTGGGCTGACCCAAACAGCCAATCCAACGGGATATTCTATACCGTGTGACATCATGCTCAATATTTAAGTGGGGAGCTCGCTGAAGGAGAGACTTTTGGTACTCGGGAACAAGCTGAGCATCGGGTGGTGAGAACACTGCATGTTGTATATGCTTTTTATCAGTATTACTGATTGTTGTTTTCTTCTCCCTTTGCCATTCTGTTAAACTGTTCTCATCCCAACCCACGAGTTTTTCCCTTGTTTCCTTCTGATTCTCCTCCCCATCCCACCGGGGAGGGGGAAGGAGTGAGAGAGTAACTGCGTGGTTCTTTTGTTGCAAATTGAGGCAAAACCACAACAGGCAGAAGGATAACAGAGAAGACGACGACCTCTGAAGAGAAAGTTAAAGTGTTCTGGTGCTTGTGGTGGAATTTTACAAGAACACTACTGGCAAACAAAAGTGCATGATTAATACGTGCATATACAACACATTAGGTATGAATGCACACTGGCTAAGACTGTACTGCAAATATTCGTTGTTACTGTTCAGAAAGAAAACTTTGAAACTTGTTTCAGTGATATCTCAGATGCCTATGATTTCAACATAGCAGTTACTACTTTTACTTTCTGCATTTTTTCAAAACACTGAATTTACATGAGAAAAACATAAGGAAAGAATACAATCCTACCCGCAGGGGAATAGTCCTTGTGTTCCTTAGCTTTTCTTTTGACTGTTAGAGTGCCCTGCTGAAGAGAAAAATTTATGGCAAACGTGGTAATGTTGAAACATCCTCTGCTGTGCAACCATTCATCTACTCCTAGCAACGCACCACAAAAAAGCTATATAAGCATGTTAGTGCTTGACAGAGGTCTTGACGCTGACCGCAAAAAAGGCTTTTTGACCTGTGAAAAAGCAATTCATCCCAAGCAGGTTAAGCAAAGCATTTCACTCTTCTTAATTCCGCCCATTCCAAGAATGAGGTCATGAAATAAGAAATGCACAAGGTGTTTAGCTATCCAGCCACATCTTCATATCATGCTGTTCACAAGTTCAGTGGCTAAGCAAGCTCTCTCCAACAGAAAGCTGCCCAGGCCAATCATAAGACCAGCAGAGAATATTTTCCAGAACTGAATAAACATCATCTAAGCTGCATGAACTCTGATTTTATCATCAATCTGCTCAAACAGATGCTGTGCAACTCTTTAAAACTGCACAGCCAGTTTGCCTTTGTATTAATGATCAGGCGATGCTTCCCTCTGCTTGTCACACGCACAGCAGCATGCAACTAGAAATTCTGGAAATCAGGAGAGCAGCTAAGCCAGTGGGTCTCAGAATAGCTGTTCACACTGGACATTTCCTCAAGAGGACTATGTCTAGTTAATGAAATATTTTCTATAAATTCCACTAGAAAGCTGGGCAAAAATGTATTTTATTTCTTTGATTACTTTTCTAACTTGTTTTTATATATATATATATATGTGTGTTATAAAAATAATGATTACGTTTCGTTTTTGAGCTGCTTTTATTCCTTCTCCATCTGTTCCTTTTTTTTTGCTGGAAGGCCCTTGCTGATTTTGTGATTTGAAGGCTTTTTTTGCTGATCCCCCACCAGTGGTCTCCCCTATTTTACTGGAAGATGCGTGGCTGCGTTTCATTCTCTGTAAACCAAATGGAACAGGAGGAGGAAACAAAACAAAAATTAAAATGCATTTATAATCCATACAGTAAAAACCGCACACTAACAAGCAAAATGACACAAATACCCTGTGCTAAATAAGCCTAAATGCTTGCATATTTTCTAACCCAAACACTCGACCTTCCATATTTATTTAAGTGCAGGACCACTAAAAAAAAGTCCCTATTTGCCTTTTAAGAAAGTCTTTGTGTGGTTAATATACCTTGCTAAATTTAAACGCTGGCATATCTGTATGCCAAAGAGGAGCAATGACACTGGGAATAGTAACTTGTTCTTAAAGCCCCCAACAACAGAAATTCTTTATCTTTCTAATGCAGTTCACCGCAGTCATCCTCTTACCAGAACTTTTCACCCTAGCACCTAACCATCAGGCTCCTTTCTGCAGTTTAAACCCACAGTTTCTCTCCTTTACTCACCAGAGAGATGGAGGAGAAGGAAGCTACACAGCAGAGTAACCGTGACACCCCACCGGCCTTCCCTCTTCTGAGCAGAGCGACTCGGATGTATTCAGCCTTTCTTTCATCCCCTCAGGCCACTTCTTCCCTCACACAGAGGCCCCTTCACAGCTCGCCAGACGACAGTCGCGACCGACACCAGGTAAATAAGCCCTGCCTCTCCCCCCTGCCCCGACCAGTAGCTACCGACCCCTCACACTGCGCGA